TAATGTGCTAAGAGCTGCCTCCTTAAAATTAAATGAAAACAAAATTAAAAAATCAATTTGAGGTCATTATTATTTTTGGAGGTCATTATTGCTGTTTTGTATATAGACTCTAGCCTCTCTGAGGTTGATTAGAATACCTTAGAGAGAGGTCATTGCTCACTGTGAACACCAAGGACTACTCAGGACACCAGGAGCTTATTAGGAAATCATATAAAGAGAGGAAAAAACATCAACCACCTAGAGATATAAGCCACTCTGAAGATTTTGCTTAAGAAAAGAAAGTGAGGGTGGGGATTGAGTATTCTCAGGACTGAGGCCATCTCAGGGAGAAGTTGCTTAGAGAAACCAGGCCTCTTCCCCTTCCTTTCTTTTCCTCTAATCAATCAGAGATAGGAACTGAAGATCACAGCTTCGAGTGGCTGGAAGCCTAAAAAAAAGAAAAGAAAAAGGAAGGAAGGAAGGAAGGAAGGAAGGAAGGAAGGAAGGAAGGAAGGAAGGAAGGAGAGAGAAAGAAAGAGAGAAAAGAAAAGGAAGGAAAGGAATGGAAAGGAAAAGAAAAGAAAAGAAAAGAAAAGAAAAGAAAAGAAAAGGAAAGAAAAGGAAAGAAAAGAAAAGAAAAAACTGGCTTTAGGCATTTATAAGCCCAAAGAGGGGAACAAAGGAAGTTGAAACCTTATGTACTGAACATATTCTAGATTTGACAAACACAATGAAAGTCCTAGAGTACTTATTTATTTAAAAATAATCCCCTAGCATCAGGGAGAAAAAAAGTAATTAAATAAATTATTTATACATATATATCATATTTTAATATAAAGATATAATAAATTACATATATACACATAATATATAATTAATTTTTTAAAGTTCCATAATCTGATTTATCAAAAATCCAAAAAATTATATAGAACATTTATATACTAAAGACTTTCTATAACAAAAAAGATGAAAGGGGCACACTGATTGGCTTTTGTGAATTCTACAATCTAGGTTCTAACTTTAACATTTGCTAAAATACACTAATTTACAAAATTTCATGGATTTAATACTGGAGCCCAAATTATACTTAAATCTGAGGATCCCACTAATTTTACACATTCTTCCCCATATAATCATCAAAAGTAACAAAATAAAATAGGGGGCAATGGTTACTTTAACTGTAGCCTTGCCTAAATTTCTCATAGTCATAGTGCCTATTGCCCTAAAATCTTCCATATTGGGCATGGATGCTATAACATAATAAATAATAAATAATATGTTAAAAGTAAAGTAAGTCTTTAACACAAATTGACATAATGATAATGAGATCCCATGGACTTCTAGTTAAAATAGTTAATACAGTCCAATGTAAGCCAAAACAGGGACTTGAATAATTAAAACTTATTATATAAAACAATAAATAAAAGGAGTGATTATTCCCACTTCTTCTTTATCTGATAGCTCAATTTTGCTTGTTCTTAAGTCTGGAAAAGATAAAAGGTGCCTTGTGATGGATTACTACAAACTTAATGCTGTGTTTCCATACAAGGCATTCATATACAATGTCCAATATTATTAAAATTATTAATTCTATTCAATCAACAACAGGTACATATTTTGCTTTGATATATTGGGTAACATATTCTATTCAGTGCCTATTCAATGGCCTTTTAGATACAATTTGTTTCTACCTCCAAAGGGATAAAATCTACCTTTTTCAGCCTACCTATGGTGCACCCCAATAGCTTTGCTATCACACAAAATCTTTGCAAATCTGATCTTGAATACATCCATCTTTATCCAGAAACACAAGTGTGATAATGCATTGATAACATCCTCCTCCAAAGAGATTCATTTGACTCATTTATTAATGACACATAAATCCAACATCTTTTAGCCCTTTTGGGGTTCTGGTGTCAACTTTTTCTCATTTAGAAATTTTATTTAACAGTGTATATGCAGGGGAGAAGATGGCATCAGTGGGGGAAGCAGTATGAGGAGTCCGGCAAGCAGGTAGCTCATTGAAACAGGCTTCCATGGCCCTCCAGAGCCCACAGTTCATTTTTGGAGATTTTAGCCCTGATTAATTCAGTCAGTTCTTTGTAACTCCTCACTCTTCAGTTGAACTTCCTCCAGACAATGAAACAGTTCTGTGTGGTGCACAAGCTTGATGGACAAGAATATCAGATAATCGAGTGTGATGTTAATGAAGTAATTGAAACCAAAGACACTTTGAAGAGAATTCCCAACTATAGTATTTCAAGCACATTGAATCCTTAGACCCCCAAATTTATTCTTAGTTGTACATCTTCCAAAAAGACCACTGATGACATAGATTAAGAAGTGAACTACAGCTCCATTGACTGCCAGTACCCAGGTTCTGCCCTTGTTCTGGATGGCAGTTCCAATGCAGAAGCAGAAGTTTTGGAAAATGATGGCATCTTGGGTGGTCTTAGACAAAGAGAGTATAAAAAGAAAAAGAAACACATCCATCTGGATATTACAGTTATTAGAAAGATGGCAGTTAAGGTAGTATTTCCACAGAAGCCATGGTCAATGGCCAGGCCAGTCCAGCAGTCCTGAACAGGGTAGGCACAGATGATGGAGAGATGATGGGCGATATGCCCTTGTTGGGGCCACCCAGTACTGTAGCAACCCTCAGGATTCCACAGGCTTCATCAGTGATGCTGTGCCTTGTGACTGTTTCCTGAGTCCTGGACTACTGTGCAGCCTAGGGGCTTCCAGGGGCCTTACTTTGAACACTCGTGCTTCCATGCAGAGGCTGGCAGGGGCAGCCTGTTGAGGACAGCTGTGGCTCACCCTTATGTTGGGACTGATACTACTGAAAACCTTGGAGTTGTTAAAGACACATACTTGAATCCTTGGATGAGGGCTCAGCTGCCAAAGGGGTAGAGTTGCACACTTTGGAAAGCAAGACTCAGATCCAGCTAAAGTTGAGAGCACTTCCCCTTCTGCCCATAACCTAGTGTCTGTGGTGGGCTCCACTTCTGTCAGTCAACCTAAGTCACAGGCCAATCTTTTCCATGATTCTAAGCTCTCTTCTTCTTCACCTGCGGCTTCTGTGAAAACTAAGTATTCTGTCCTGCCACATCTGCCCTGGTCTCCGAAAAACAAGCTAGGAAGTCAAGGAAGGGCTTCTTCCAGTTTCAGGGGATCCTGTAGCCACAAAGATCGCTGTTACTGGAGAACATAACCTTAGTATATAAACCAGTATCATTGCAACTTTATAGACTGATCAATAAAGGAAACTGGTGCTACTTTATGCTACACTGCAGGCACTGGTTGCCCGCACTTCCATGTATCACCTGGTGAATTTCATTCCTTTGTATTCTAAAGTGCAAAGACCTTGTAGGTAAACTCCCATGATAGACAGCTTTGTTAGGGTAATGAATGAGTTTACTAATATACCAGTACCTCCAAAACCCAGACAAGCTCTTGGGGATAAAATCATGAGGGATATCTGCCCTGGAGTTACCTTCGAAATATATATTTTGAAATATATATATATGTTTCAGAGGAGAGAGAGAGAAAAACATTGATGTGAGAGAGAAACACTGATTGGTTGCCTCCTGTACGCACCCCAACTGAGGATCAAACCCACAACCTAAGTATGTGCCCTTATGTGGAATCAAACCCACAATCTTTTGGTGAGTGTGACTGCTCTCCAATGAACTGAGCCACCTGGCCAGGGCTGAATCCATGTATATTAATAGACTTCTGATAATCAAGAAGATACTCTCTGAAAAGGTTCAACAGGAGGATGCTGAGGAATACATAGGCTTCTTTCTAAATGGACTTTATGGAGAATTGTTGACCTAAAGAAACTTCTCTCACCAAATAATGAACAAGTTACTATTTTCAATGGACCCAAAAGCCATTCAGTGAATGGAGAGAGGAAGAGCCAGACGAAGGATGTGAGTACAAATGGGAGCAAGTGGAACCCATACATAAGACTTCAGTCATTCACTAGGCAGACTTTGTTCAGGTCCCAATCACCAGCATTTTTGGTGGACACATTAGGTCTGTGGTTTACCAGCAGAGTTCAAAAGAATCTGCCACTTTGCAGACATTTTTCACATTGCAGTTTGATATCCAGTCTGAAAAGATACATACTGTCCAGGATGCATTGGAAAGCTTGGTGGCAAGAGAATCATGCCAAGGTTATACCACGGAAACCAAACAAGAGGTTGATATCAGTTGAAAAGTAACTCTGGAAAAACTTCCTCCTCTCTTACTGCACCTGAACTGATTTGTTTACGAGACGACTGGTGGATGTCAGAAGCTTATCAAAAATATTGAATATCCTGTAAATTTTGAAATTAGTAAAGAACTGCTTTCTCCAAGACTTAGAAATAAGAATTTTATTTTATTGTTTTTTGAAAAATGAAAGCTGATTTTTATTTTATTAACAGCCATTCTTTAAACATGAACATGCATACGTAATACCCTACGCACATATCACAGTTTTTAATGTTAGTTAATAAAGGTTAAACATACAACATACATCCTTACAAAAAAGTCAAAATGCAAACTTAAAACTTTAAACAAAAGTCTTACTAATTTAAAAAAAATTGTGTTTGGTACCATTTGTACAACAGAGTTAATTTAAACATTTTCATTTTGGCTGAACATGAAAAAAGCAGCAGTAGAAAATAAAGTCTTTGAGGGTTTTTAAATAGCAGAGTAGGCAGTTTTGCCATGCAGGAGAAGCAATATTAAATATTAGTTTTCAAAATAAAATCCACATTTAAAAATATTTAGTTCAAGTCACAGAATTTTTCTCAGTAGAGACCCCAATGCAATGCATAATTAGCTGCCTTAGATGGCCAGTTTGAAAGGACAATGCCCCTTCAGAGTATAACTTCACTGATTTTGGCACAGAAAAGAAGTCTTAAGAACAAGAACATGATTTAAAAAGAGGGAAGAGGAAGAGAGGAAAGGAATAAAAAGCAAGAGTAAATGATAAATTAATTGCAATCACTAAAAAATGCATTCTCGGCCACTGCAGAATACTGTCTTCCATCTACAGCAGGTGCTCATTCCAGAAGTGTTATTGCAGCATGGATTTAATTTGCTTCGAGGTAGTCTCATCATTCAAATGTTTTGTTGTGCACCTGAGAGCATTGAGAAGACCTTCTACACTATTAGGAGGCTGGTCCTTTAGAACTTTGATACAACCTTTCATATCAATCTTTGAAGTTTTGGCAAATGCTCCCACTGGATGTAGATGGTCGTAGAGTATTATGACGTCCACCATTACCCTCAAGCAGAATGACACTGTGTCTTCACTTGTAAATCTGCTTCTGTATTCTGGTGTTTCCAGCATGACTCTGCATATGCTCACCATGGTGCTTAGACAATCGGTGGTGTTTTCTATTGGTAAATTTTTATTCTCTGATACGAACTTTGTTGTGGCATCACTTAAGGTTTTCAGCATTGGGGATGCCTCAGCATAAAACAAAGACATTCGATTTACCAATTCATTATTTACTTCATTTTCCCCTTCTGCTGGAACATTATTAATCCTTATCCAACTCAGTGTTCTCCTATAGTAGCTGAAGTCATTCTGTATGGCAGGGTTTGTCATCTTGAGTTCATCAAACCGGAGTGTGAAATGAAGGATTTCTGCGAACTGCTTAGCAAGAGCCTGCTCTCGCTCTAGGTGCTGGGTGGGAGAGTATGGAGTGCTTGTCAGGGCTCCCAGAAGGCCTTGTAATGCAGCTTCTAGCCTCTGATAAAATTTATAAAATTTCTTTAATTTGCCTACTAGTGGGACAACAGCACCCCATGCCTTCTCTTGGTAACTTCGTGTCAGCTGGATGCTGGATGGCCTCTTGTATTTCATGGCCGGCTCCTCTGTATGATTGCAAGTCCTCCATGATGCCTTCTGCATCTTTTAATACTACATTCACCTGATTATAAATTTCCTTCTCAGACTCTGTAGGCTGGGCATTTTCAAAATCAAGGAAAAAATTTGGCCCCTGCTCAAGGTCTGTGCATGTCAAAACTTTAAGAAGATTCCCCATGTTAAGGTACCTTCAGCCAGTGCTGGTGATTCTGTTCTCGTCCCTCTATCCTGCGCTCGAGCCTGCAGACTCTCAGCCCCACTCCTCCGCCCTCCTCGAGTGGCGGCGGCGGCTCCTCAGTGGTGCTAGGGTGAGCCACGGGCCCGGAGCGGGGCAGCGGTGGCGGCCGGACCGGGAGCCCCTCCGCACCTAGAAATAAGAATTTCAAATGCCATGCAACCTATAGACTATTTCCAGTGGTTTACCATCACAGCAGCAGTACGACGAGTGGTTGTTACACTACAGATGTCTTGCAGATTAGTCTGAACACCTGGCTGCACATCAATGACCAGGTGGTGAAACTCACCATTGACTGCACAGCCTACCTTATCCATTACCACTAAGTGTACCTGCTGTAACCACCTATGAGCTGTGCATGCCTACACCCGCTTGTAGAACACCAACTCACCGACTTCCTCTCTTTAGTGGCATTTTAGACAGAAATTCTTTCTTCCTTTTGAAAAAATCGGCCAGAATAAAAATGAGATGTCTTGGGGGTTGCTTGCAACATAGTTTGTGTTGACTTCTAACTTCCAAATCAAAATCACTTGATTGAAACAGATTGTTGCTTGATTTAAGAAAATACACAAAAATCCATAATTCTGAAATAATGCTGATTCCTAAGTAAGAAGGGGGAACTTGCATTTGATTCCCAATATAATTGCTTAGTAGAATAAATTCTGAACTAGGAATAATACTTGTAAATTTGTAAAAATGAATTTTATATTTTTTAAAAAATAAAATTTTAATCCATCAGTTTCCTCCTCCACCCTTTAGTTTTCAATAAAAGAGGAAAATGAGCCAGTTATCAGAGAAGTAGTTCTTCAAAATAAAAATAAACAAAAAGTAAGTTGATTCCTAACAGGAAAAATATGTTTTAATAATTGTGTGATGAGAAGCTTCTTATGTACACATTACATATTAAATATTTGGATTTTAGGTGTTAGTCACATAGATGGGTAATTATAATTTTATTGTCATTAAAAAATTTTAAATTGCATTCATGCTTCTGTGCACACATAATGAAATATGGACAAAACAATAGAGATTGATCTTAAGTCTGCCCTGTTTAATTCAGCTACTTGCTCTTCTACATAGTTTAGTATTAACGAGCAGTATAAAGTTGTTGGGAAATGCCCGGCCTGGTTTCAGGAGCTGTAACCCTGTCAACAGGCTGGAGGGCCCCAAGGCTGGAAATAATCAGGAAGCCTTGGAGAAACAGGCTCCTGAGGCGACTTGACCTGTTCTCCCACCCCTGCTTCCCTGCTTTGCTTTGTGATGGTTCCTGCCAAGGATGAGTATGACCTCTCGGAGGAGGGGCAACCTAAGACAGGCATCAACCAATATAGGCAGCAGATAAGAAATTGGGGGACACTGAGAAAGGGCAAAAAGGCCCCCTCACCTCTCGGCTTGGCTTGGACATGGCCAGAGTCTTCATTGCAGCTGAGAAGCAGTCTCCTTATCTCTTGGTGGTTCTCTCCCCACACCTGGCTCAGGCTTGAAGCAGTGCAGGAGTCAGCTTTAAATCAGGCCTGGCAGTTACCAGGGAAATCAAATCTAAAAGTAATTTCTTTAAAATGTGCTTTGTTCTTTTTTCAGACCTCTGGCCAGCTCATGCTACGAAGGACATTCACATTATTTATACCCCTTACCCTTTATAAGGTGCCTGCCCTTATCTTCATTCTCTTTTGTTTATACTGGTCTCCTCCCAGACCCATATAAATCAATGAATTCCTGTCACTTGTTTTCTTAAAAGTATCTATTCTCTGTGCAACTTAACATGCTAATGTAATGAGTGTACATATGTATTCCTATTACCTAGCCCACTGATAAGTTTTTCAATAAAAGCCTTGGAACAAAGGGCACCATGGCCTTCCCCACTAGGGGATGTGCCACAGCCTTCTCCAGTAAGGGGGAAGTGCCCCTGTCTGCTCTCCCGGCAAACAGAGAAGTGTTTGCGACGTTTTGTGTTTATTTCCCCCATCCGCGACAATCCCAGGATGGGCTCTGCAGGTTTCAGAGCCCTGCTCCCACCTCAGGTGGCTCCATCCAGTTTCCCTAAGGTTTCAGGGAGTGCTGAGCTCTCCGTGGTGCTCCCCTGCTGCGATGCGCCCCTATAGCTGGCATGCAGTGCGACATAAAGTTGTCTCCCATAAATAAAAATCATAAAGTTGGTTTTAAAAATTTACTTGCAAATTAAAATCAAGAAGTACTCTTGCTAGTGCTATCAGAAACTCCTTCACTAAAGAAGCTCTAACAGCCTCTTATGACTTCTGGAGTCTCTGGACAACCAATGATGGCCACTAGTTGCCCCAATGCTTCTGATGCAAAAAATTGCCCCCTTTTCTTTGGCTTCATACTATAAAATATTAAAACAACAAATAAATGACTAACTACTGGACTATCCTGGAAAAAGAGGCCCTCATAGACTCTGAATCCATGACCACCCCCCATACTGAACTACCCATTATGCTTTGGGTCATGAAAACAGCAGCTTACAAGCTCAGCACAGCTAACATGGCCTTCTCAAGACACGCTGGAACCAAATCTGAGCTCTTTGGTTTGTTCCACCTGCAGGTAAGGTTGGCTTCCCTTGCCTTCAGTCCCTTGCCAAATGCCAAGATTCTAGAGGAGGTCACCCTTCCATATGACCCTTTCGCTATCTTGCAGCTCCTTGGGATTAACTGAGTGAACAGAAATAGGTGTTCATAGTTTGTGCAAATGGCACTGCTAGCCATCATACATGATGGAGTTTAGTGCTCCTGCTTTCTGTCCCTTAGCCAGAAAGCCCTAATACAGGGAAGAACCCAAGAAATAACACACAAGGCCAAACTCCAAGAAGTTATCTCTGAACAGAATGTCCTGGCCAACAAATGATATCATCTTCACATGTATTATTAAGTATTGGACCATTATTTAAAAGATGTCCCTTTTAAGGTAAAAAGTGCTGAGAGCCTCTTACCTCTTGGATACCCCCAATATAAACCAAAATCATACCTGTTCTTGCATATACTAAAGCCACAATGCAAGGCCTTGCAAGGATACTACATAGCCTCTTCAGAGCAGCAGACATTCCTGGTGGTACCCTAGATGCACATTTTACTTCTTAAAATACACAATGCTGAGCTCTTGAAAAAGGCATTCAACAGAACTTTCATGTCCCTAGTCATCTCAAATAGTCAGTTTAACTGAGAGACGTAATGGTGTCTTCAAACAACTAATTTTCCAATTCCAGTCCAGTAAATAAACCTTTAAAGTCCTCAGTCTTGGCCTGGGCTTTAATCTATTACAAAATTTCAATCTTACCCCCAACCCATAATGACTAGAAGACAGATGGAGGACACATACTCTCCTGAGACTCATTAACCACAGATTGTCTTACAGTTCACAAAATTGCTCATCTGATACAGGACACATTTGTACCTAAATTTCTACCAAAAACAAACAAAAACGCTGTCAAGTGCAGCTGCACACCATTCTGTTGACTATAGGTTTTATTACTACTTGTTTGTGTGCTTTCATTGGTTTACAGTATGGATGCCCACATGAACTCAAATGCATTTCCACTTGAAAAGTATACTGAGTCCCATATCCTGTATGACATTGTTCTAACCCAGAGGTTCACCTTTGGAGATGACATTGCCTCAGAAGACATGCCCTCAGGCCAAGACATTGCCATTGTGGATGATTTTGCTCTCTAGGCCACAGACAGCACCCTGGATAATTAAATCTCTGCCCAAACAATGCCCACAAAGTAACCACCTCTTAAGGTACAAATTAGACACACCACATTTTTTTTTCTTTTCTATCTTAACTCACTGTCTGTTTAGCCTATGATCCTGGTATACTCTTTTCTCTCTGCTAAGCCATACACTCCTGAATTTCCATGCATACAGGGAAACCTGGAAAAAATTACTAAAATTAATGGATATTATTGTTTTTCTCCAGAAGGCACCTACTTCATATCAATCAACCCTTTGACCCTCTGGGAAGAGGACTACACACTCCCAGATGTTTTTTTCCTATACTCCCCCAGCTTTCCGCCACAGTTCCTCACTTTGCACCTCTGATCATGACCATCACAACCATTCTTTCTCCTTGGCTAAACACATCACATTCTCATGGGTACATTAAACTCTAATGTACCAAGAATGGCACTTTTGGATGCTATCATGACCCAAACTCACAGGCACAGTATCTTACATATTTTTCCTTGCTGGCTCATCCACATATTTTCCCTGATGAGACCAAACCCCAGTGTGCAGTGGTTACACTGGGGGTCACCATATATTTTATTCACTTGTTATCTATTTGTTACTATCAGTCTAGATGGACCGTGTTTATTCATATCTCAATAGGATTTGCTATAGCGATAGGAGGCACCAGCAGAGTGTACAGTATATAGAGGATTCTAGTTGAAAGTAATATTTTTTTTTAAAGTAGATTGGGACCAGTGGATTTAGGAATTTTATATGCTATCTTCAGAATCTAATCCGAATGATAATATGAGCAATGTTCACATTTCTTTTGGTCAAGGGAATGAAAAAATATGGTTTCCATTTGTAAGAAAATCCATCTGAAGCCCTGGCTTGTGTGGCTCAATGGATTTAGCACTGGCCTGAGAACCAAAGGGTTGCTACTTCGAATCCCCAGTCAGGGCAAATGCCTGGGTTGCGAGCCAGGTCCCCAGTAGGGGCTGCATGAGCGGCAACCATACATTGATATTTTTCTCCCTCTCTTTCGCTCTCCCTTCCCCTCCATCTCAAAATAAATAAATAGAATCTTAAAAGAAAAAGAAAAAAAAAACGGGGGAAGAACAAGACAGCTTTCTGATCAGAGTTCATGTAAAGAAAGTCGGTCACTGCCTAAAATAACCCGGTGGATTTGAGAATTACAGCAAAGGAAGCAAACAGACAAACTAAAAGCATATGAAAAAAATGATATCTTAAAAAAACACTGAAAACAAGAGTTTTTTATGATGGCAGAGGAGTGAATGGGAGTCACGATGATCTCCTCCCAAGACCAAACTGGAATTGCGACTAAATAGTGGAGAAATCACCTGGAAAAC